CCTCCCCAATCCCTTTCCTTTTCCGTCACTAGCAGAGCAGAACACAGGCTGCCTGACTGTGATTTGTCTATATAGGCTGAAAGGGGGCTGAGCCTCAGGAGTCAGTTCCTGCAACTCTGTGCAAAAGCTTCCAGGCCAAAATCCATCTTTCAGGCTTGATTCTTTGCCATGGAGAGGGAGGGAAGTCACCACAAGTCTTCTGCGCTGCCCGAAGCTGCTGGAATACCACTTAAAATTAGACACAGCGGAAAAGAACATTTCTTCTCTGTAACCACAGAAGCACAAGGAGCTATGGCTTCAGAACATTAACATAGCTGGGTCTTCACTGAACACATTATCCTCCAGTCACAAACTCAAAGACCGACTGTTAAAAAGGAGTCAGCAAGAGTTCCACAAACAATATCCATTCTGCCTGATGTCAGGCTGCAAAATGAGTTAGTGCATTCTTTAGGGGAAGCAAAACAGAAAGACAGGCCGTGGCCCTATTGAAAGCTGCACTGCAACGCATCCAAGAAAAAGTTCAGAACAATTGCACAGGCAACCCTGAAACCATTTGTTCCTAGTTTTCAAGTGCCCAACACTCACCTAACCAGTGCAAATCTCTTTTACGTGCTGGAGCTATTTGTGTCTCTGACATCCTGGCTTTGTTTTCAGGACGCGTAACAAAAGTGAATAACATTTTCTGTTATCTCCAGCGGTAAGAGCTTCCTTGCATTCACATTCGATGTCAGCAGGGCTCAAACCCTGAACTCAACACTACAGCAGTTAACAGATGCACTGCTTATTGGCAAAGGGTGGGAGATCTGTTATCCAGAAGGGCCAGGTGATTAGCTCAGTTATCTTTTCACAATGCTACAAGGGGTCAACCAGCTCCCTTGGTTTACAAGCATTGGCCAGAGCCAGGCAGCGTAAGGTGTACTACTCACACCCCAAGCATCACACAGGAGAGCAGAGGGGCAGTTCAAATAAAAGTTTACAGGAACTTTCATGGATCTGTGAAGCGTTAAATCTCGGTTTATGAGCTGTGGCATTAGCAACCCTGAAAACTTCAGCAGGCCGCGCTCAGATCAGTCACTCACAGGATCAGAAGTGAAAGAGCTGCTTCAAAACACTTCAGCCACCTTCTCTTGTTCTGTTGAGCACAGGGAACGCTCCATCTCTTAGTGGTTGACAGTTTGTAGGAAACTGTAGTCACAGAGGTAACCTCAACCACTGTAAATTCCCTCTACATCAGTTTTCATAGAATAACCACCCTCACAGGGAAAAATACCTCCCAGTGTCGAATCTAGCCCTGCCCTTGGTCAGTGTGAAGCCATTCCCCCTGTCCTGTCACTCCATGCCCTTAGCCAAAGTCCCTCTCCAGCTCTCTTGGAAGCTCTTTAAGCATTGGAAAACGCTCTAAATGTGATCCCAAAGCCTTCTCTTCTCCAGGCTGGTTGAGACAGGAGCTCCATTCCCAGCTAAGCAGGGAGTTACCTAATTCTCCTGTACTAACCTTTCCCAAGGATGCTGTTCTCACAGTTCCCAACTCATCCGCCACATGAGATCACTGAAGGAGGCCTAATAGGCTTCCTCCCTCCCCCAGCACTGCTGAACTAAATCAGACCATTTCAGCACAGATAAATGGGCCCTGGCACAAAGCACACTGAAGCCAAGTCCCAAAACACACTGAGGAGCAGCCCAGTTCTGTGGATTTCTGTGCATGCTTGTGCAGGCAGCCTACTATAAACACACAACTGCCTTTCACCAATTTATTCTCTCTAATTGTAAAGGGTCTTTGCTACATTTTCAAACATCTCTGTATACTGCTCCCCCCTGAAACCCCTTTCAAAGGTGCAGAGTCTCTACCTGCATGTTCTCACAGAGAGATAGAAACACATTAGATAGAAACAACTGATCAGCACTGTAGATAGTCCTTAAAAAAACCCAATCCTTTTACTTCAACTTGTTTTGTTCTCTCGCTGCTCAGACCTGTTGAAAACAAAGTATTCCGTAGCTGTTCAAGGTTAAAAAAACTCCAGTTTTTTTTTTCACCCAGATAAGGGTACCAGAATACCTGGCAAAACACTCGGTGTTTATGCAGGCAATGTTTGTAAGGGGTTCGTGCCCTCAGGTACAGGAAGGGAGTTCGCAGGAACAAAATTAAAATGATATTGTTTTGATAATTACTCAGATTTACAGAACTCAACAGCAAGTGGACATTGAAAGTCACACTCCAATGATAAGTTAAGCAAAGCACAGTAAGTTATTAACAGCGACTACAAACAGCTCATTGTTCTGCTGCATTTTATCACGGAAGGTATTCACGATAATCTTGTCATGCCCAATTCTTCCCCTCCCTCATAACACAGAGTCGTGGCAAGTCCCGTCCCCATCAGTACAGAACTGCTGTCGTAAAGGTTTGATTTACTCAGTGAATTAATCTCTTAGGAAAAAAGACCTGTGCTTAGAGGGTGGGTTGGCTATTTGGTTTGTTTTTTTTAACTATGACAAAAAGCAGAAAGGTAACCTGGCAGCAGACTGAGAGATTTTCCATTTTTCCCACTTTGATAGAGACCTGTGAAATTCTTCCAAACTTCCAGCTGCCACCCTCTTTTGAGCACATTTTGGATCATTATTAGTATTTTGCACTACAGTGTCTTGGTCAACAAATGGAAGCCCATTTTGTTTGGGCTCCACCAGTAAGCACTCAGCCTCACGTTCAACAGAAAATAATCCATCAATAACCACGGGAAAAACTTCCGCTGATTCACCGATGCAGACTTTTATCCCTATCGTCTTCACACACCCAGCTGCAAGCAAATCCAGCAGCTTCAGAAGAGAAGACTTTCTTGGTCCAAACGGAAGATAACATCTACCTGGTATCACATTAAATACATCAGAGTTCTAGTCAAAGTTGTCTCTTAATGCCTCATTATCTTTTACGATGACACATTCCCCACAGCCTTCAGCTCACAAGCACTCTGACTGCCTGCTGAAATACCACTTCCCAGTTCCTGGAAGACACTTCTGCTTCAGATCTGTCATAGCTGCTCTCCAGCTGACTCATGCAGCTGAAGCTGAGACACGCTCGTCTTCTTGCTACCATAAACTACAGAGCTCCTCAGTTACTTCGCACAAGGTTTGCTTCACCGTAAGTAAAGATCTCCCACTTGTTTCTGACCCAGGCACTGGGGTACTGATCTTCACTTTGGCACGCAAAGGGAGCAGTAACCGATCTACCACTACAGACAAAACATCACAATTAATCCACATATACTAATGGACAACCATCTGGTTTGAACTTGTCAACTGACCTGCTGTCTAGCCCTGACAAAGTGAGAGATTGGGACTCAGTCTTGTTTCATTTCTGCACCGTTTCTCACCATCTCCCGTACCTGACCACCTCGTAAACAACTCCCTGCCTCGAGGAGTGGTAATATTCTCTTTCCCCCCACTTCTCTGGAGGCTCCTCAGCCTACTCCAAGCTGATAATGTCTCTTTGATTATAGCCCACTACTGGGTTAAATTAAACTCAGACACCAAAGCAAGACAGCCTCACTGTTGTTCCCACTGCTTATCAGTTCAGTCACAAAAACTGGCAGAAGGCTTCCACGACAAGGAAGTTTTGCCATCTTTTGAATAGGTCAGATCAGTTTGCTGATGTCCAAAAAGCACTATCACAGTACAAGGTTAAATGCAGGAATGGGAAGGAAGGCATTTCCCCCTCAGCAGCAACGAGCTATTGGATCAGCTCAAGCTGTAAATGAAACTGTACCTTACCCTAAACCTCCCAGCCCACAGTAAACCTTGTCCTGTAACAACCATACGTGGTGATCAGCTGTCGACAGCCCACATCACACGGCTCCTGTCTGAGAGTAAACATGATTGCAGTTAATCATTGAGAAGTGACAAATCCCCAGCAATTCTCCTGTGTTCACCCAAGTGACACACATGCATTTGCTCTCCTTCCCTTCTCCCACGAAAAGGCATCAACCCATCATCCCTTTCTCTGTTACTTTTCAAGAGGTGCCCAATTCCTTTCCAAGATTTCAGAGGATTTCAGAGAACAGCCTGGAGCTCAAAGGAGTCTGTTCAAGCTTTCTCTTTTTACTGAAGAGTTACCATTCAAGCTGGCCGGCATCTTCCTTAACCTCATCTCAATGACAGCCATTGAGAAACCTCAGAAATACATTTACATTTAGATGTAACTGGCTCCTACTAACTCAAGAGCTGCTGTTCTGTTCCATCATGGGGATTCTTGAGTAATGCCAGTATGCAAACACACACTCTGCTTAAAGCACCTTGCTTAGTTTGTTCTCATGAGAGACATTTCCACAAAATATGCATGATCTTTTAATAACTTAAATTAATTTTACGGGGGAAAAAAACAACAACAACAACAAAACAAAACAAAAACCCACAAACCAAAAAACCAAAACCAAACCAACAAAAAACCAGCAACAAATAGAGGGTCTCAAGGGTCCTCTCTCACCCTGCATGAAGATTTCTATAATAAGGCAGGGAGAGGGATGATATATCAATCTGACACAGAAAAAAACATGTGACAGACTATCACAGACAGGTAGGACACTACAGGCTCTAAAAACAGTTTACTTCCTCCACAAGACAGCAAGCAACAGCTTTCCTGGTCTGCTGTTGTTAAAGCTACTGATAAAGCAAACTGAAGATGACCAACAGGAAAAATACAACAACTAAAGTTAAAACAATTGGAGAGTTTTGCTTTTTATTTAGTTTTAAAGGAGCTGAGTTTTATTACAGTGAACAGTTTTAATACAGTGATGGGAGCAATACTGCTAACAGTAAGCCTGACTAGACACAGGTAGAAAACATCTAAATTTAAATGTGAGCGATTGAGACACTCAGCTACATGAGAAGGTTGGGATCAAACATTCGTCCCTTTAATCACAGATGGAAGACAAGGCTTTTCAATAAAATCGTGGCACCCCCAGCATGTCACCTGCACCCAGCCACCCACCTCTGCGCTGCAGGACCCTCACCTTATTGTAGAACTCCTGCTCCCTGGGCCCACGAGGTGGTGGCTGCAGCTGCTTCAGGACGGTCCCATCTGGATGCTGCAGTATGCCTAGAAGAGAAGCATTTCCTTCAGGGCTTAATTTTAAGAGGTATGGCCTTTTCTCCCCCCCTGCCCCAGAAATAGTGAATTCACCATCAAGGGCAGCCTGTTTGAAAAGCTGTACTGGTTCCAGTGCACAGACAGTGGAGTCAAAATTGTCAGTTCCTACACGTGACCCCTTACAGAGGTTTGCTTGCATTCCTCTATTTCCAGCCATTGGATGATTTTCTGGGTCTAATTCTGCTCCAGGCCAACACAGTAATGGAATTTGACATTAAAAGTTCCACCCCCAAAAATCCACCACTAAGACTGTATAAACACTCCCTTTTTAAATAACTCATAAATTATTTTTCCAACAATGCCAGGAAGTTAAAAAGAGTATCCCATTTAATGCATTTCTTAATAGTAAAACAGAAATAAATGTCCTGTGGATGTACATCTATACTAGTGGCATGGAAAGAGTCTTTATTACTAGAAGTAGTGCCCCTACAGCACTCTGTGCTATTTGTATCACCCAGAATTTTGTATCACCCAGAATTTCATCTCAGCCAGGCACCACTTCCATCATGCCTGCATAGAAAAAACCTGGAAAATATCCTCCTGAAACAGCTTTAATGACTTTCCAGTCGTCAATATTTCTAAGTAACTACATAATGAGTATCCAAGGGTACTGAAGAGATGGATGAGGGCAAGGATAAAGAAAAGTAATTGCAATCCTCTGAAATAGGCACCTAGTTTCAAGATCATCAGCTGCAAGGCAAAAAGGAAAGCCCACTTCTGAAAATCTTTTTTTCCCTGGGATTTATTCAGAGCTTTTCAGACGGTAATCTATTTTGTTTAGAAGGGAAGCAAAAATGTCACCCCTATCCAAAATAGGTTCCACTTTCAGCTTACTGCTTGAGAAAACACGGGGAAAACGAGCCAGGAGCTTTGTGTCCCAGAGAGAGTTTGCAGTTGTAACAGCAATTGCTGCGTTTTCGTCGTTTAAAAACCATTATCTATGAATGGGCTCTGTTGTGCAGCCTTGGAAACTAAATAAAATCTTCAGAGACCAAGATATTTACATTAAAACCATCACCAGACGTAGAAGAGTTGTTTCAGGAGTTGGCTATACCTAAGAGTGGCTTTTAAAGCTTGCATAAAAACAGCTCTCAGGTCACGTTTTCTTGCTCAAAGTTGGAGTTTGTACACTCCCCAAAACTAGAAAAATGCTGCCACACGCTCTTGTGCTGACTACCACAGCATCTTCAAGACGCAATAGCTTGTGTTCCCCCCCTGCATGTGCTGGAAACCATTCTGCAAAGTGCACCAAGTATTTGAACAGCACGTGTTCTGCATGCAAGCTGCTAACAATCGCGACATCAAAACAGGTTCTGTAACACGTACTCCTCAAAATCTGCATTTTGGCTCTGATGATAAGACAAGCAGACAACCTACAAGGCAGAAAGACCAGACAAGGATTCCTGGAAATAGAATCCATACACTACTGCACCGATCCATATTACCTGAAGAGTTTAATACAAACTGATGTTTATAAACTCATTCTCTGCATTTCTTAATAGACTTGAGCACCTACTCTGTCACTGTGACCGGGGCAGGCCCGGAAACCAAAGAGTCACGTTACAACATTCACCATGAAGATGTAAACTCCATAACCTTCCCTGTGATCTACAACAACAACAGGCAGGGATACCATCACCTGCAAATCATGGTAACATACGGATGTTGGCCAGGGGTTGGTTGGAGGCTCCCTGGGGTTCTTCAGCACAGACAGGGAGTGGTATTGTACACGGGCAAGCAACTTAACATGTCTAAAGAAGCAGCAGAACTATAAAGAAAATAAAATCCTGGAACATCTCACTAACATTTCCCTTTTGACTGTGCCTGCAAAGCTTGCTACCATTCTGAATTTGAGCTCCCCCCTGAATTGAGCCTTTTTCGCCTGATCCCACCTCGTGTTATGATATATGAATAAGAAGGACACAGAGCTTCAAGGATCCAACGCACTTCCATCAACATTTTAATGCACCAGCTGCAGCAGGAGCAAGGGACAAGAATTACTTTTCTGTGGAGGTTATCAGCAGTGAGACATGCCACAGGCACTGGCTGTAGATAACAGAAATTCACAGTGCCCTTAGTGCTGTAATTCCACTCACTGATGACTGGAAAGGGTTCTGAAGTTCAGGAGAAGAATGACTTTTCTGTCTGGATTATCAGCAGCAAGACACACCACGGATGGAGGCTGTGGATAAGACAAACTCACAGTACCATTAGTGC